TGAAAGACTTTTTTATAGGCAGAAGAGGGTGGGACAAGGAAGTTACTAGCAAAGGGTAGATTGTTTCAGGCAAGGTCCTCTTCTTCTGGGGGATGGCAGTAGTCTATCAGGCAGCTACCTCACTGGTTCTGACAAGGAAATTCCAGATTCCAGACTAACTGGTAAAGATTCTATTCCTGTGAGAGGCTGAAACTGAGATTAGGTTAAACATTAAGTCTTAATTTGATGATGTGAGCTTAGCACAAGTGATTCCATTTTGAGCCTGTTGTCTCTTTTTTAAATATATCTATGTTAATTATATATGTTTATATACATCATGACTGGAGACAAACACAATATGTATAAAATATAACACTACACATATATATATATATATAGTTAAATATGTGTGTCTGTATATATATACATATATAGTATATAAAATAAAATTGTCTGTAGATTTAAGGGTTAAGATGTTAAAATGGTGCCAAGCTAAAATTCTTGCTACAACCTTCTTCCCATTAAAATATCATGAAAGAGTTTTTGAAAAATAAGAGTTAACCATTTGCAGGAGGAATTTCCACTGGCTACAGTGCAGAAGAGGCTAAACCAAGAAACTTTATCATATGTAGTTTTTCCTCTGTAAAAGAAGAGCAAAGTTGGTAGGAAGAAGTTAAGCCTTCAAATTGTTATTCAATCCAAATCTGCAAATCCCAGGAGAAGGCACATCAGAATACAGAGCCAGGGCAGTGGGGGTGGCTGGTAACAAAATGTGACAGACCCCTGGAATAAGCAGCTGCAGATTAAGCAACATGTGGAAGCACACTGACAATTCTTGGTATTCAAGTTCGTAGTTTTCCCATTTATCACAGCTGATTAAAGAAGACCACAGGTAGCCTCTGTTTCTTGACAACATAAATTCTCTTTAATGGTTGACAATGGACAATAGGTCAGGGGAAGATCTTGTCATGGCAAATGCTCAACAGGTGATAAATGTAAATGTCTGCTGGATTCCAGAATTTAGCCAAGGAAGCATTTAGCCCAGTTTTGCATACAACTTTAGACTTAACCAGTTTTTCTCACGATGGTAGAGAAGCAGAGGAAATACATCTGTTGGCTGCCCAAGTCTGGGACTGGAAGGAACATCACTCATTGACGTGTAATAGGAAAACAATCACCGCCACAACATAAGATCTATCGAAAATTCTATAGTACAGGAAATAGAGCCCTATCTGAAGACTCCAAGGAAGAGCATATATCAAAAGATGATTTACTATTGGAAAAGAAAACTTTAAAAAATGGCCAGTTTTGTCCTTAATTGGATTTGAGGAGATACCATGTCTATTAAACAGTGACCTGTAAGTTAAGAATGCAGGGAAACTAAAACTTTCACTGTGGAATTAAAAATGCCATTGGAGGCAAAAAAAGCAATATTGATTCTACTTATCAGCAGTAATTTATAGGATGAACACAAATTTTTTCAGGCAAATCTCCTCATCTCTCCATGAATGGTGCTCACAGCTCAGGTTTTCCAAAATACAACTTGCTCACCTTTATTAGCGCTCATCTCACAGTGCTTCACTGTTATTACATTTGGTGTCTGTCTCTATCCCTAGACTGTGAGCTCCTTTGGAGAGGGACCATGATCTATACTCATGTTTATTCCTAGCAGCATAGTCTCTGACCAGTGGGCCCTCATTACTGGATGAGTGTATGAAATGAGAGCTCACAGTTAGCTTGGCTTTCTTGTTGGTTTATTTTTATTTTTTAAACTAGCATGCAAAAAACCCAGTCTGTGACCAAGTATCATAGAACATAGGATTAGAATCTGGAAGGTACGGATAGATGTATGGGCTGATCTTTTTTTTTTTTTTTAGGAAAGCAAGACTAAAGTAGTAAAGGAATGAGAAGGGCATCAAGTAAATAGTAAATTTAAAAAGGTAAGTAGTGAGACTGTCATATTGATTTAGAATTAAGTGAAGAAATGTAACTTTTCAAAGTCATTCTAGAAGTCAACAGAGTAGTTGAGAATACTAAAGCTGCTTTTATCACAAGATCAGGTTCCCTTTTCTTTTTCTCTCACTTCTTTTTCCTTCCCTTATTTTCTTTCCCATTTTCTTCTTGAAAAAAAAAATGCTTACTACTTTGGACTTGCCAATTACATCTATATACATTACAATGCTATCATAAGAGATAACCCCTAAATGTCAGTGGCTTAAAAATTGAAGTTATCCTTCAATAAAGTCCAAAATGATCGGGGACAGTGTTTATAGGCCTCAGGGCCGACTCCTTTCATTTCATGGTCCCACTCTCCTATAAAGCCTTGGAATCCTCTCCATTCAGCTGTAAGAGAGAGGTCCATTCAGCGACCAAACAGAGGTTCAAACAAGGAGGTGTTTATGAACTAGGGCCACAAGTCCAGCACATTACTTTGAGCTAGTTAGTACTCAGTCACATGGCTGCACCTAATTACAAGGGCCACTATGGCCATCTATCCAGCTGTGGCTCTGAAAGATAAAAATGGGTCTGGTATAAAAATGGAGAGGTTATTCCAACAATGGATAAGCATGATCTAAAGCATTATGTGTAGCTCCATTTTATCTTTATAACCCTTTGAACAGTAGATACAGTAGATATATAAACTTACAAATGAATAATAATAGCTAATATTACTTTTGCACAAAGGATGGTGCTAAGCATTTTATATATAATTATGTATTATTTGTATCTTAAAATTATATCTTTTAATATCTATGTATCTTATAATTATTTCTATCTTATATATCTTAACTTCATTTAATCCTCAACACCACTTGAGCTATTTTTATTACCAGTATTTTACTGATGTGGAAATCAAGGCACAGATTAGGCAACTAGACTGAGGCAACAAAGTCAAGCAATAAAGAAAATAAAACAGTTCAGGCTATGAGTGAAAGTCTACCAGTAATTTTCCCAGAGTTCAAGTTCATATGTCCTATTTATTCTTTGTTTTGCTATTATCCTTGCTATATATTATTCCTATTCCTCAACATACTTATCATTTGGGGCTTTCATGACATTCTATATTCTTGCTCCCCTGCTACTCATTACAACTTTATTCCATGAACATGTTGATTTGAATATGTAAAACCTAATAGCTCTTATTGTTTCACATACAAAGAATGCCTTGCTATTTAAAGTGTAAGACAAAAAATGAAGTTAGTGGTTTCCTAAACTAAATCCAGTATTTACTTATGCAGAGAAATCCCTAAACTTCCTCTAAAACAAAAGGCATATATTCTACATAGTCATATATTTGAGATATAAAGAAACATCAATTTCCATTTTAAGTAAGACTTAACTTCATATCTGTCAAATTCTGGTGCCTCGCACAAAGCTGGAGACAACTTAAAAAAAAACCACTTGAAATATTAGTCATTTCAAGTGAGTCACTCCCTAAAATAATTCACTTGGGAGTCAAAGAAAGGTGGCTTTAATATCTCAGAAATAAAACCCTGACCAATTTGTTCATCCATTCAGCCTACTACGAATCTGTTCTGAGCCAGAAACTTTGGGGACAGTAAACACTGAAATTGAACTTGTCAGAGGAAAACTGTACCTGGTTTATACTGTACTACCTAAACACTAGCTGGAACTTCAGGCACAGACATCATACAAGACAAACTCCAAGAGTGAGGAAACATTCTGTGTGTTTGTTACTGATAAATCCAATTTTCAGCAGAACTTGAGGCTGACCTCTTCTGTGAGGGTCCTTTGTCAACTGTGCCTAAAGCGGGCTCCTATTAGGTGCTCAATAAAGATATGTTGGCAAAAAAATCGGTGAGGTCAAGACGTTTACACAAGGGCAGTGGGAAGAGTTCTGAGTTCTCCCACTGACTGTAACTCTAGATGACTTTGCAACTGGTTTTACAGGCCATCCAAGCACTCATCTTTCCTTAGCTCTAACACATTCAAAGGCAGTGGGGGTGAGCATTTTACACTGTGAATGTATCTCTTTGAACTTCCTTACGTTGACTGGGCGTAGGTTGGCACGTCTGTGCGGCACTTGCAACTTCCGCCCTTCTCCTTCACCCTCTTCCCGGCGCCTGGTCCCTGCTCCTCGCCCTGCTTGCGGCCCACTCTCACCGCCAGCTGGGTCAGCCGGCGCCCTGGGAACTACCGGGTTCCTCAAACCTTGCTTCCAGAAAAAACAGGTAATCTTTATGTTTTAAAACACTGCAACGTGAGGTCTTCAAGTGAAAGCTTTATTTGGATAGAAAAATGTAACCTACGAGAAGCCAGTCAGCGTCAGATCTCTCTTCTTTGCCTCGCTTCATGTTAAGGCCCAAACGATCACCTCAAACCCTCCATTTATGAAAGTAATCTTTTCCCTTGGGAGTTGCAAGCTTTCAGAAAGCTGCGACGTCTGCTTCCAGGCCTCATTCCCACCAGCTCCGCCTCTCCTGACCCACCTCACCCCGACTTCGCGCCCACCCTTTGTCTCCTGTCAGCTGTCATTGCGCGCAGATTCCGAGCTTCCGATTGGAACACCTTCCTGTCGCTCAGTCCACACTGGGGCCGGCCGCCTCACTAGTCCTAGCCTTAAAAGGTCTAAGGACGCTTCCAAGTCTGCAGGTAAAGCCGCGGAGGCAGCGGCGTAAGGGAGGAGCTGCGAGCCCAGGTCGGCCCCGCAGTGCGAAGGAGAGCGCGCCGCACCGCCCCTCCCTCACTGCCTGGTCACGCCCTTCCCCTCTACCCCCAAGCCCTGTTCACAATGCCCGAGCGGCCGAGCCGCTCTCGTAAGCCAGCCCCCGGACGGTCCTGGGGGCAGTTACCACAGCGAAGCACGGAGGGCGGGGGAGGAATGTGAAAGGTCCCGGATGCTGCTGAACCGGGGAGGGAGTGACTGGCGCAAGCGCAGAAGGACAACACGAAAAGCTAAGGTGGGGGTGGGGATAGTTCCTTCTCGTTTTCTACGAGTGAGCTGGCGGAGCTGCAGGGGATCCGAGGGGAAGGCGAGGTAGTGGTGGGAAAGAGAAAAAAAGCTTCCTGCCCAGGTGCACTCTACAAAACTAGAGAAGTTGTTAGGTGAGCGGTGAGGAGGAGTGTAGGTAGTGGGAAAAGACACGCACCCCTCCGCTCGCCCTCTAGCGCGGGCGGGCAAGACGCGCGCGCAAGGGAGCGGCAATTGCACTGGGCCCCCAGAGCTGTGGGCACCAATCAACGGTTGCCATAGCAGCGTTTGACGTCATCGTGCGTGTGGTGCCCCTGCTGCCGGGGCTGGTGATTGGAGGAAACCCCGTGTCTGCGGAGCCGCTGTAGCCTGTGAGCAGCGAGATCGAGGGATAGTCTCAACCTCGCCGCTGCCGCCCAGAGACTACTGAGCCCCCGTCCGTCCGCCACCACCCATTCCGGACACAGGTAAGAGACCCAGCCCCGGCCGCCGCCTCCTCGCCTTTCTCCTTCCTTTCCCAGACCAACCTTCCAAAAGCGCGGGGGCCTCCCCGCTCCCCATCCCCTCGGTCCTGCTCGCCCCGCGGTAGCGGCGCTGGGCTGAGGCGGAGTCTTCTCAGGCGGAGACGGGTGGCGGCTTCTCTTCCGCTGGATTCGGGCGGGCGGCTCGCGGCTGCCTCGGGCTACTTGCTTCCGGATGGACGCCTTGGCCCGGATAAGCGCCCGTTCCCGGTTCCCGTCCCCTGGGGTGGAAGGGGCGCCCACACGCAAGATCCCCGGGGACACGCCCGGTCGCCGGCTCCCGGGGGTGGCCGAGGCACCGCTGGCCGCGATCCATTCCCACCCCGTCCCCTTACCCCCAAAGCCACATCCTCCCCGGGAAAATGACTCGGTGGCTGCGGGCATTGCAGTGGCGCAGGTGAGGCCGCCCCCTCCCCGCTGCCCTGTTCTCCCCTCCCCCTAACTGCCGTCCGCCTCGCCGCGCAGCCTCCGCGCCCGGCGCTGCGGCGGCGGCGGCGCCCAGCCACCCCCCCCACCTCCCCACCATCCGGGCGGCGGCGCGGCGGCGGGAGGGCCGGGCCTGGGGAGCGGGCCCGATCCGAAGCCGGCCCGGAGGCGCTCGCCAGGTAGACTAGGGCGAGGCCGCGCTTCTGGTGCAACGGGGAGCCGACTCCAGGGTGGGGCGAGGCCGTACCGAGAGCGAATTTCCTGGTTTTCATGGTGTGGGGGACGACTTGAATTTTCCCGGGTGGGGGATGGGGCAGGGGTTTACCCTCCTGGTGAATGAGGGCCCTGAGCGCAGGTAGGGAGAGCGAAAAAGAATGGGGACAACGGTGGGCTGGCGTGTCCCCCTCGTCTCTCGCGTGGGTGGGCTAGAACTGGAGAGTCCTGCGCCTGGTTTTTAGCCGCGTACCCCGCTCTGCGGGTGGGTGAGTAGGAGCTAACAGCCGGCGGCGGCCCCCCTCGCCTGGGTGTGGCTCTTGCCCCTCCCCCACCTGCTGCAGCTGTCGGACCCTTATAGACTAAATGAGCACCAGCGGTGTCCGGTGGCGGAGGAGACGCGGGTGGGAGAGTGGGGTGTGTCCGCGGCGGGCCCGGTGCAGGTTCCGCCTCTGCCCTCGGGGCGGGCGGCTCCCTCCCCGTGGCTCGGGCGGGGGCGCGCCACTCCTCCCTTCTGTTTTAGTGGGGAGAATTAACACTCGGCAGTAGGTTGGGCTCCTTGACACAGATCCGCCATGACAAAGAGGGAGAGTCGACGACTCGTGCGGAGGCACAAGCTTGGGCGGAGTCAAGGAGGGGTGGTAGCGGATAGCGTGCACGGAAGGATTTGCACTTTATAAAGTCACGGCTTGCCAGTTTTCGTTTCACCCACCTCGACGTCTTAACGTCGGTTAAGGGTTAAATGGGTGCGGCGAGGCCTTGAAGCACCAGTTATTTTGTGAGAAATCTAATCCACTTCCCCTGTACCCAAGGGGTGGGGAGAAAACCTTTGTGCTGATTTCGAATAGTTTTTAGCATTTTTTAGCGTTTTTGAGTTGTTAGGGGAGAAATTAGTAATTTCAAGAATGGGGTGAGAATATGTGATCAATTTTAAATAGTTTTCTGACCGAAACAGTATACCTCTCATCCAACCAAGCCACTTACTTGTTTAAATACTAAGGACTTATTCCAAAATTTTTTTTTATTTTAAATATTGTGGGAATGTAAAGGATATGATATTGGGGAGGGAGTTCCCATATTGACAGTGTCTTCTGTTCACTTTTTAACAGTGCCCTTGAGGCTCTGCATTTCTCTCTAAAATCGTTTATTCATTAATGTTTTAGCATCTGCTTTTTTAGCACCTCTCAAAGATATCTTTAAGGTAAAGTGTAATGGTAAATGAAAAGTCTAGGGAGTTAAAATTTGACAAGTAGGTGGGAAGTCATAGTTAAGGGCAGCTTGACTAGGAACATACAATTAAATTTTGACTACTAGAACAATGCAGTGATTCTACATATAACTGGAACAAGGATCTCAGTATCACTGGAGCACTTACTATATACATTTCATAAGTGAGGATTGAAATTCCAGGACCCGTGGATGCCGTTTTTTAAGTGTGTGCCCATATAACAAAGTATGGATAAATGAGGCCTTAGGGTCAGTTAAATGTAGATTCTTGGTGGTGGTTTTATACTCAGAATATCTTAAAACAAGCAGTTTGGTCATTTCTCCCAGAAAATTGTGCTATGATCAGCTGGGAAGTGTTGGAAAGATAAGTGGATTTGGGGTAGTGATAGCACCAACAATTTAAACAACCACTTCTGATGAGAATGGGTATTATGAAAGTAAGAACACATGTATGACATTAAATTGGCATGAATTATGATTCTGGAAGTAAATAGAAATTGTAATGTTCTTCATAGACAATGTTTTCACTAAAGAAAAGCTGCTTAATTTTAGATTACTTAGTGATAATTGGAAACTGGAATTGATTTTGGCTAAGGTAAGCGTTAGTTTTTAAGGAGCCTCTTGACCAAAAGTGCTTTGACCTGGTGAAAATAGGATCCTCTGAACAAAGACAAGATAATTCAACCTTCGTTTTGATGAACTGATCTTAATGGCTTTAAATTTACCCTCTGCGTGCTTAGTATGCCCATTCACTCCCCACCCCTACTCTGATCATCCTTTTGTGAGGCTGCATTATATTCCTCATGTGAAGAATCTTCCCTGGACACTTAGGTTTGAGGTGTTAATATAGCTCATTTACAAAAGGTATAATTTTAAGTCTGTTTCAGTGAAAAAAAGAATCTAAATGCTACCTTTTTTTCCCCTGCAGAACATCCAGTCATGGATAAAAATGAGCTGGTGCAGAAGGCCAAACTGGCAGAGCAGGCTGAGCGGTATGATGACATGGCAGCCTGCATGAAGTCTGTAACTGAGCAAGGAGCTGAATTATCCAATGAGGAGAGGAATCTTCTCTCAGTTGCTTATAAAAATGTTGTAGGAGCCCGCAGGTCATCTTGGAGGGTCGTCTCAAGTATTGAGCAAAAGACAGAAGGTGCTGAGAAAAAACAGCAGATGGCTCGAGAATACAGAGAGAAAATTGAGACTGAGCTAAGAGATATCTGCAATGATGTACTGGTGAGAATCAAACATTCAGTCTAGCTTCCCTGTAATACAGGATTCCTATAATGAGTATCAGTTGTTTTCAACTTTCTTTTTTGGTTTTCCTTTCCCTTTTAAAAATTTAGTGTTCTAAAATTGGAAGTCTTCAGGGTGTCATTACTAGCATGTTAAAACAGCTGTAGTTAAAACATTGCATTTATTTTATACAAACTTATCAATCAGTACAAATAGACTAAAAAATAGTTTATGGTGTAGAGTATTTTGTACTAGTTGAAAAGATAAACAGTATTGCAGTCTCAGTTGTGGTTAGGATATTTGTAGTAGTTCCAAGCTAATTTTGTTAAATGCATACATAATACGAGTACAGGAATTTTACATATCTTGTTTTATGTAAGATGTAACAGGAGAGTCAGTCTAGACATTTTACCCTTGCCTGGATTAGCCCCTATGATGTTGATGTAATGAATCAGCCATGCAGAAAATTCTGGCTCCGCAATTGCTTTTGCCTCTTCCTGCATTTAAAGTGTTGGAAGTCACCTTTGAACCCTTGATAACCGTAGTAAAAGGTTATGAATAACTCAAGCTTGATTTTTTTTCCTGGTTTAGACAAGAAGTGTTTTTTAAGTGTTCAGTACATACTGTATTGAAGTACTACTTACCTGAAAAGCTTAAAAGAAGTGAACGTTACATTTTGGTTAATTTTATTAAGTGATGGCTTTCTGATTTAGAAAAGTTTAAGGATAAATTATTAGAAGATCCAACCATTTAGCATATAGCATAGGTACATTAATACTTTCCCTTTTTAATGAATCAGGTTTTGGAATATTTAAAGGAGTTTTACTAACTGTCACTCTGACATTGCAGGACTTGAGGTTATACAGTGGATCTCAGTATGGTAGGGCTCTGGTATATAATATAGTTAGGTGCAGTATCTACGTATTATGAGAATTATTATGGAAATCCAGGTGCACTACTCAATATTTGAACCTGTTATGGAAGAACTATAATGAGCAATATAGGATTATTTCTGATGTGGTTGTGAGTTTGGGGTTTTTGTTAAAGTTGTGATGGTATTACATTTCTTTTACACTAGTCATCAATTAATGGGATAGCTTCAGTTCCTAAATTATGAGTATTTTTCTCAAATGATATTTCCTTTAGGCTGCCTTTTTAAAGAATAATTTTTTTATCTTGATGTGGGCTCACAAAGTCTTGTGTGGTTATCTGTCTTGGGTGCTTTTTATTTATTTTTCTTCTTTTGAAATCTACACATTTATAGCTGTATTCTCAGATGAGAAAGGAATTCCATATTTTCATTGAGGTTCAATGACATTCTTGCGGTTTGCTAATAAGGTAGTGAGAATATTTAAATTTGAAAATACATTTTTCTATAATAAAAAATGTTAGTTTTTTTTCTCACTGCTCTCTTTACTAACTAGTTAGTACCTGTGTATGTGCTGCTCAATTTGTTCACTCTGGTGTTTTACCCCCAGTTAATCCTCTTGATAGAGCAAATAGTTTTTATTTTGGTTCCAAAGGGTTTGCTACAACTTATAGTGTCCCTTAAGATGAAAGTCAATTTATGTGGTAACATGCCCTCTACTAAACAAGCTTTATTTATGACTCCAGGTAGGTATTTGGATGTTTTCCATACACGAAATAGAAAAATTCGTGTCATTGTGAGGATTTTCCCAGGAAAAGACTAGCAGTTTTAACTTGGCTTCCCTTTTGTTTCCTTATCAAGAAAAAGAATTTAGTGCATAGGATCAGTGTGGATGAGAATAAGTAGATTAATCTCTAAATAGCTTCTCTCTGTTGATATTATTGGGGGGAGGAGTTGATTCTAGTTAGTACCCATGTTCTCCTTCAGAAAAACACTGGCTTCTCACCAAGTCTAAATGAAATGGCCATTTTGAAGGCATAGATAAATGAAAATTTAATTCCTTTGCCATATAAAAAACTCAGAATTCTAGTCTTGTTTCCAGCCTTAAGTCTTTTTAAGAGAAAGCTCTGCCCTATTAGTGATCTTTGCATGGCTCATGCCTCCTAACATATAGTGGATACTTAGGTATTTGTTAAGTAAATGAGCAAAAGGGCTTCTTTTAGAAAAGATGATAATAGAACTAGGTCAGCAGCACTGCTAATTTTCCAAGGCCTTTTCTGTTTCAGCTTGGGAAAATTTGATATTTACAGATCTGTGGTCTTTTCAAGCGGGCTTCTTTTCCCTGTCATCTTTTTTCAAACAGGTCATGTTGGCTCTGGAAACATCTTGCATAAGATTCCCTTTCCTTTTTCTCATAGAGTAGAACTGCTATTTCTCCAAAAGAAAAAATTCTTTGAACTGATGTGTACTTGATTAGTGAAAGTATGCTTTAATTATATTTTAAGTTCTTATTTACATGATAAAAATATAATCAATTAAAATTTTTATTTTTTTTCTGAACTTTTTTTTTTTATTTCAGAAAAATAAGGCAGTTCCCTTTCAGAGTTAATGTTATTGGCTGGTGGCATCAGTGATGAATCAGACTTCACCATTACACTGAGCACCTGTATCATTCATTCTCCAGAGCTCAAAGCTTTTTTTGTTTTTTTTTAAGAGTTCTTTAGTCTTTTGTTAAATAGTTACTACCATTCTGGTTTTATGCATTTATCAAGTGTTTATATGCCATTTACTAAGAAGGAAAAAAGAGGAACCATGTTACCTTGTGTAAGAGTTATAGACAGCATTACTGTGGAAAGTGGTCTCTGTCATATTCTTCACAGTATGGACTTCTCTTTATGCAAAAGAAATTGGGGTTCTTCTCTTCCTTGCATTGTTAATTTGAAATTGTAGTATGTGAACTGATGTCATCTGGCTTTCCTGCCAGATTTTAGACCAAAAGCTCTCTTGATAATTGGGGAGTGGCTCGACACTAGTGATTCCTAACATCTCTTCTATATAAACCCACAAGAAGAAACCAAAAATTGGGTAGCTCTGTCTTGAACATGATGAAATGAAAAACAAAATGAGGAAATACATGCTAGAAGACCTAAGCCAAGCTTAAAGGAGAATGTAATATTCAAGGAACTCCAGGTTTTGAGTCAAACCAACATTTTACTGTTTAATAGCTTCACAGTCAAAGGAAATCCTTACCTCAGAGAAAACTGAGCTCAAGTAAATGGGAATAATAATCCCACCCCATAGGATGTTGAGGAAAATGCAAGTCAGATTAAGATTAAGCCCCTGACTACCTCCTGTACCCTGTTTATCTTAGCTTTTGGGTTCTGTTTTAAAAGCAGTGACATTTAAAGTACAGGGGTATATTAAAAGTCTAGGAATGAGATTTTTAAAATCCAAGATGCTTTAAAAACTATTTTTCTGGGGCAGAGGGTCCATATTAACCAGCAAATTTTTTTAAGTTTCATGAACATTTCTGAGTGGCTGGTATAAGGCAAAGAATGGCTTCCTTTACTTTTTGGAGGTGAGCCATTGAAAACCATGATCTAACAATTGGCGATAGTAATTGAGTAAATAGTGATAATGATTCAATTAACTTGAGTAATAGTAATAGTGATTCAAATAGTGATCCACTTTATTATGCTTTTCTACATTGACCAAGGCAGTTTTACAGTGTGGTTGCTGGGCAGTGCTTTATATTTCTAGCTTACAAAACTGCCATTAAACAGGAGCAAGCTAGGAAATTAGGCAGCTTTTGGGTCCTTACTCTAAATGTATTAATGTGCCTTGGGCTTTAAAATCTGCTAAAGAGAATTGGAAGCTGGCAATCACAGCTCTTCATTGGAATAGGGCTTCTCAAAAGAATTCTGCAATGTTATACCCATCATCACTACTTGTGATGTTTACATGTTTTTGTCAAATAGGGCTTTTGGTATGTTTAAAAGTATATGACAGTAGATACCTAGAGTCCCAGAAAGGAATACATTGATTCAGTATTTTTTGAAGAGTTTTCACACAAGTTTTGCCCCAATGAGGTATTTTTTGCAGTTGGGAAATCTTAGGTGTATGAAGTGGAAATGAAAGAAAATGAAGGAGTGAGAATGGAAAGGCTGGTGTTCTCTATTTGGCAGAAAGAATAATCAACACTTTTATCCAAGTGGTTACCTGTCCCTCGTTCAGTATAGCAATAGTTAATAATAATAATAATAATAATAATAATTAAAAGTCTCTCCTACTTGTTCTAGTGAGAGGTGCAGATGACCTGGAGGTGTTCTGTGATTAAATGAGCTGTGAAGATAGTTAAAGTGAACTAAGAGGATATGGTGAAAATAGTTGAAATTAGAATCTGAAAAACCTGAAATCTGAAAGTATAGTTAACCCTTCAACAGTGAGTTAATTAGGGGTGCCAAACCGCTGGGCAGTCAAATATACTAACACATTTCATATGTTCCATGTATTATATACTGTATTCTTACAGTGAAGTAAGATAGAGAAAAAATGTTTTTCTAAGTGTTGCATATCCAAAAATTTTTCTAGTATATTTGTTAAAAATAAAAATCCACATTTAAGTGGACCTGCACAGAACATGCATATTTATGAAGTAATGATCCAACTCTTAACGTATCCAAGAAAGAGGAAATTATATTCAGCCCTAGTAGAGGCATCTGAATTAGAAAGGGGGAAGATAAGCTACCTTAGAGTAGTTAATAGTTTGCCAAGATTAATTTTGCTGCTCATTTTTTCTTTTAAGAGCACCCAACTTTATCAGTGAAGAGATCCTACTGGTAATAGTGGTGTAATAGAAGTATTCTAGTTAAGTTGGTTAATTGAAAAGTAGTTCAAGTATATTCATATTGTTTTAAACATTTTATTTTAAAGTAAATGTGTATGTATGTTTGCCTGTATTTAATGTGAGACTTAGACTTTATCTTTAAATATTTATAGACTCACAATTTGGAAATTGCTAACCACTCCTATAAATACATTCTTCATATGAGAAATGCATTGCAGAGTGAGGACTTAGGTGCTTGGTAATCAGTTTAGAATTTTTACAGAAATGTACAGGTTTTTAAAAAAA